TAAAGGGAAATTTACTAATAAATCACATCTGTCCCATGAAAAAATGTTCTTTATGAGAGGTTGTTCCTTTATGGGGGTTTCTTTTATGGAGGGTTGACTGTATAAAGTTTTGGAAATAGTAATACTGCAGGGAATGACAATAAACAAGAACGTAATTAATAAGATATACTGCATAGTTAATATAATTTTACTTACTTACCAATAGTCAAACTCACTTAAAACTGTCTATTCAAATTTTCAGTCACTAATTACAAGTTCAAGGGATGAGACTAATTTTGTAAGATTGACTTCATTTAATATTAATGTCAGCCTGATTTGGTTTATTTTGATATCTACCCTCAATTTGCCCACTATTATTATTATTATTATTATTATGGATAATTACCAAGCCACAGATCAGTTGCCTAGCATTTTATTGGTAAGAAAATATCCCAGCGGCTTTAGTGGGAACCAAACGGAAGTAACTTAACATTTAATCAACTACAACTTGCTTACTTGTTTTGGTGTTGACATGGATTTTCTCTTGACAATGATATAAGACTATTTCAATAATGTTGTTATAGTTAATTTATTTTTCTAACAGAACCACTCATCTTTTTCACAAAGTATGTACTGTTTCCGCAGAACAGTAAAGATTTCATTGACAAATTTCGCTTTTCCGTAATAAAGTCAAACTCTGTATTTTTATTTATTGATTGGAAAAACTTTTTTTTTTGTGGAAGTAATAATAAGGTTCTTTATTGTGTTACATGATCGACCCGGTATAAAATTGTGTAATATCCGGAGAATGATATAAAAAGTTTTACTGTGTTTAGGTTTATGTCACTATTCAAATTAGTTATTAGTCATCGAGAGGGAATTCGTAAAATCCTTAAATTAATTGACGGTAAGCTCAGAAACTTACTATTACTATGGATTTGGTCGCATTTTCCGATTAACAGAATTACGAAATATTCGAAATGCATTTCTGATAGTATTTGTTACCTTTTATTGCTCTTACTCCTGAATAAGAGGAAAAGGTTACTGGAGTGAAAGTATTATGTTAATTTATTAATGCAGCTTTTGATAATGTCTAACTTATATTATTATTGTGTAGTAGAATTCTATGCAAGTTATTTGTAATTATATCGCAACAAATTTTCATGTTCTTGTAAATAAGATTTGTTACGTCTCTAACTTTTTACACGTTTTCTTTCTTGTGATTGCGTTTTCTTTTTGTTTGACAGTTAAACACACTATAATCTAAAAAGTGTCAATAAAGTGGAAAGTCTCTATACTAATCTATATATCGATACACACGTTGTGTTCTGTATACGAATGCAACAAACCGTATTAGACTTGTGTTATGCGTGCAACGAGAAATAGCGTGTCAGACAGGAATCGGGATGAGCGTCTTCAAAAAAGCAAAAGAAATTAGTTTTAACTATAGTACGTCATGTGCTTAGGAAACCTGTATATATTACCAAAATTGCTTTTAGGATCACATCGACAGTTGCCAGCTTCGTAAACTTCTTGTTCAGGTGGGCAGTGCTCTATGTCCCCATGTCTATAACCAATGTCATTAAAGAAATGCAACTCGGATTTATTTAGAAAAAGAGATGCCGCGATAGAATGGATTGGCGCGTCTCCCCATCTGAAAATTCCGAGTTGGTAAAATTAGTTCCTCCATGGCTTTCAAAAATAAAATAACAACGATCAGAACTAACCGTTCGTAAAAGAATCCTCCGGCCTTATCCAAATACTCAAAGAACTTTAAGTATGCTTCGCTTCTATAAAACCGCAAATCGCCGATTTCAAAATTACTCCAAAAATGACACCTATTTTTTTTTTACAACAAGAATGACGATAGTTGCAATGTAAGTGTAAAATAATTAACACAATCAACACTGGAGGAAAAAAATGTAATACAAGTACAAATTATATTTTGTCAAATCATCGTCCGATATAAATGCTGCAGAGTTGTGAGTCGAAAGATATTGCGGATTATCCTTGACAAACTGCCTGACATGCCGCCACAAAGTCGGGATAGTTTTCGGTCGCTCTTTTAGTGATATTGTGAATCCGTATGAAATGTTATGTTTTTGTATAAAGGCGAACGGATCATAGTCAATGTCACAATAGAATTCAACATGCGGCTCAACGCGCCAGTAATAGTCGTATTCTTGCAGGAGGGGATGGCGGAAGAAAAATCCGGAATTGAAACGACACATGTGATAATACGATTCCAATCCTCCGTATGGAACACCACCTCCGTTTGACATTCGCACCCGAGCCTGAGCCGCTTTCGTCTGATCAATCCATGACGGGTAACCCCACATCTCGGGGGGAATCTGAGCTGGTTTACATAATAATAAATGTAACAATTGTGAGTACAAGTAACGAACTCGCTTTTATAAGCCGCAAAGCGTATCAGCTTTTTTGATCGAGCGTCTGAAACTCGGACCAATTCCTCGAACCAAATCTCAAAAATACTTGCAAGATGATGGGGAAAGAAACAAGCATGTTTTCCCGGCAACACGGTTTCGCTGTTGTCTCTATGCAGTCAACATAGAAAGTGAACTTATACCATTTCTTATGTAACCTCTTTTTTTCTTTCGTCAATGCGATTAACATACCTGTTGTGATTCGTTCCAGGGGACGCTATTGATATAATGTACGTTTTCCCACAAGCGTTGACAGTCTAAACGCTGGTGTATTATCGCGTAAAACGCTTGCAACGGTTTCACAGATTGAGGTCACATAACAAATGCTATCATACCGGAACAGACTACCTTTGTTTTGTCGCACAGGGTGTTATTAACACCTTTTATAGACGGGATCGGTTGTTCTACCCTTTTTCACGCAAGTTCTCTAACTAACGATTTATTTTTTTTTTTTGAAGATTGGTTCAAGGTAGCCGGAAAGCAAGCTCATATTTGTAAAACGGGACGACTTTTAGACCGCATCAATCCTACCATGAGACGTTTTAGCTTTTGTTATAGCAGAGGTCTTTTCTATAAATTCTGGGCTGAAGGGTTCATTGTTTAAATAAACATATGGATAATTGTATTTCTTGTTCCAACGTTGTTCAAACTGCTTGATGGTATTTAGCAATGAATCCAGCTCATAATTCCTGACCAGTATAACAATCACAGCGTTCAGTCGCTTGGTACTGTTGGTGGCAAATATGCTGGGATCCTTGTGAGGATCTATGTACTGTGTCTCAAAGAAATGTTGTCTGTGTTTATCTTTAATAAATGTTGAAGTTACGACATAAAAATATAAACCTGCGAGAATTACTATCATTAACAAGACAGATATACGCAGATAACGAAAAAGCTGTGTTGAAGTAGAGCACGATCGCAAAGATAATTGTAACATTTTTAAATCTAAACGAAAGAGAAACAAGTCTGTTCCATTTATATTTAGTTGGGACATGCGACAACCATTGTGAGCTTAAATTATAAATACTGTATTACATGGTTCGAAACGCGGATGAAAATTAAAGCATCCAAAGAAGGAAATTGTAATATTTGATCAATGGTTAGTGAGTAACACAACTTGTTATTGTACATTTATGCACTAATTTTACGAAACAAAACCAATCCTTCTTTTATGGTAAGACCAGGTTAATATTAGGGCGTATCACATCCTTTCTGCGGCTCAAGTATCAAGGCTGCGGAATAAGGACTTCGCTAATATGCGAACCGTATTTTTACAAGTCCGATATACGACCATCAACATAATCGATATCTTTCGAAAATCGGAAAGGGCAATAACATCCCATACATTTAATATCCACGCTGAATAGTTCGGTATGGGCCAATTCGCTGATTGATCTGTAATCCTTTTCATCCGGTTTTTAAGATCCATTCATATGATTTGGGACAGTGGGCGGTTCATGCGATGTGTGAATTTTATCATTAATCCATACAGTATAATAAATATCTCATCCGTCTTCTAGTATGTCATTAAAAGTCTAAATTATGATCTTATATCGAAAAACTTTCACCGCATCCGCAAGCTTCTTTAACGTTAGGGTTGTTAAAGACAAATTTAGAGGATAGCTTGTCTTCAACATAGTCCATCTCGGACCCAATCATCTTGAAAAGAGATTTGGAATCGATTAAAAGCGTCACTCCTATAGTAAGAATAAATCCGAAAGGTAGTAAGCAGATTCGCCCTCTGACTAATGACCAAATACCTTTATGTTCAACACGTTTACGTATAACTCACCATCCTGAGTAACGACTTCATCAAATTTTCCTTTTTCTTTCGTAAATTCCAAGTCATACGATAATCCAGCACATCCTTTATTTTTCACGGCGACACGAATCAACCTGGGATTCGGTCCATCAATCAAACGACGTAACCGATCTACGGCTGCGGGAGTCTACTCGCCTCATAGACAATAGAGATAAACATACTGCTTAGCATAAACGACTCTGCTCAGCAGAACTTTTCTAGCTTGAACTCACCCAAGCGTTCCAGCAACACCCACCAGTGTCATGGCAGCCTTGCGGGCTTTGAACCTAGACGGCGCCTGAGTAGCAACCGTTTTCAGACCTCTTGAAGTCATAGCACGGAGTATTAATGGTGGCATCATAATAAATCGTATGTAAGTAAGGCAAGATCTTGGGGAAATGGTGAAATTATGTGACGATAGTACGAGTGCCACTTTTTTGCTGCCAAACCAATTATTATTAATAATCCACCACCTTGTAACACAAGAATTTTCGAGATCAATCGTACTATGACGCAAATACTACAATTCTACATCATGTTACCAAATTCGGCATTCCCGGGTTAAATTTGAAAGGACTAATAGATGACTATCACATCGTAGCGTCTATCTCCAGGAGTATAGATAACTTTTACCGTCTCGGTCGGAAGTTGCGTTTCATTTGAATGTGCATCATCCCAATGTGCCAAAGTCGAGGATGAATATCAAAGTTACTGGTTACGAAAGGAGACAAAGGTATCTATCTTAATATCATCTGATCTAAATAATAAAACTCACAAGTTTTAATATATACTTATTAATATAGTCTACCGAATATTTATCAGAGTGACAACAAAGGAATGTTCAAAGGCGCTTTACATCATTTCTGCGTCTGCCACATTCAACCTTCCTTCCCGTTCATTTATTTAATTTTTTTAACACGCAAAAGTACAACGGTCCCCATCCATCGCTTTTATCTGGTAACACGATCCATCCATAATCTGTGCTCTCTCCCACCTCGTATTCTCTCCTAACGATTTCAATATTCATTCTGGATTTGTCCAAAAATTTCTCAATCACGCCATCATTTTCACACTTGTTAATCGAGCAGGTTGAATAAACCACAATCCCTCCTATCTTAACCATTTTAATAGAATCCCACAGAATGGTATACTGTGTTGACAATAATTTCTTGCTGTGACGGTCATTCCATCGCACAAATTCAGTTTCATTTTGTAGCAAATGTCGTTCGTTCGAACATGGGACGTCAGCAATAACCTTATCAAAGAGAGGAGGATACGTTGATACGCTCGATATGACGGTCACGCGATGGAGCATTGATGGAGGGATGTAGTTGTTTATAACACGTTGCAGACGTACCCTTCGCGACACTGATGGTTCATTGGACGTGAGATATCCCGAATGTGACAATCGTTGCAAAATTGACAATGTCTTTCCTCCAGGCCCCGCACACATGTCGAGAATATTATCATCCGGTTGGACGTCAAGTGCTTTCGTAGCAAGAACGGAAGATGCGTCGAGGTGATAGACGATCGTTATTCCAGATCCGTCTGCAGTTGGTGGAGTAAACTTGTCATTACTGATATAACATGGAATGTCAAGAAATGGGACTTGTTGTGCATCAGATGGAAGATAAGATTCGATTGATTTCTGGCAGGCGTATTTGTTCGTCATTGCACAATATCGATGCGGATTACGCAACGCAGCGAGTAGGGGCGGCCATCGGGTATCGTACTGAGCAGTGTAGAATTCATCGAACAAGTTTTCAGCGAGTTGATTGCGTGTCTGCCGTTTTTCAAGTTGTTTTCGCCGGTTTTTAGATAGTTTCTTCAGCAGCGGCAAGTTTTGAGCGATTGATGGAGATGGTTTAGAGTAGTCTGGTTCTGTTGGCTCGCAGTTATCAATGGGCTTTCCAGTAAGTTCCTTTGTTGTCGGTTCTGTTGCTCCTGAATTTTTAACAGATTCTGTTGATGATGAGGTAGTCGAAAATATTGAATGCTATTCGTTAGAGATAGTAAAAAGTTGATAAGTAATTGACACTCTTGGTAAACAATTGAAAGAAATGATATTGATATCACCGATCTTGTTCTCAAAACTAATCTGTATGATGATACTAATATCATAAATCGGTTATGTCGGCTATATCCAAAAATGTTATTACTCATTCTGATGTTCAAGTAACGTGTCTCGATTTCAATGTTAAAATGTTGGTTAGTCATGTGATATGATAAATTGGTTACGTTGTACGAACATCTCAAGTTGATCAGCGAATATCTTGTATTTTACGCATTCAGAGTGTCGCTGAATATAACCGTGTTATTAAACAAGTATTTTCTGATCACAATTTATCAATTATTTTTATCATACTTATTCGATCTATGGGTATTATCCATGTAAGAATCGTTCCTCTGCATGGATAATGTATAGCACGAAAAAAACTCGTCGAAGCTATGCGTATAAAAGTACAAACTGTTAAAAAAGGTCTTAAAACTCTATCGAAATCTGACAAAATTATATTACCAAGGAGACATTTTATGCGTAATTGGAAGATAATAAAAGTCCAACAGTTTACTTACGATAAAAAGTCTATATGAGCAAAAATCATCAACCAGCGGGAAATTCTGTCTGTACAAAAAGTGTATTGCATTTTGTCACATGCATAATGGATGACGCCGGAGAGGTCAAACTTCAACCAGCATTACTGCAAAGTTTGCCCGTTTCTTCAAACATGCAGTTAGATATCTGTGCTTAGCTTTATGATGTACTTTTACAGACGATAGTATATAATTTTAGTTTAACATTTGATATGACAGGCACAGGATAAATCATAACGCTATACAGTAAGATGCACAAGTAATTGACGTTTATAATTGGCAAGTTTTCAAATGTTAAATATTTGCCTTTTCCAATCAAGTTTATTTGTAATTAATAATTGTAGGACATAATAATACTAATTAATATCACGCGTATTATTGTTGCCAAATATTATAACAATTCTCTGAAATTATTGTTCAATATAGCCGAGATTACTAATTCCTATGGTAACAAGATTTAATCGCCCACTTTTTCTGCAATTATTTGCGTGGCAAGTAAGATAATTATTTGTTGGATGTCGAGGCGCGTTGACTTATTAAAACACGTAAGCACTCCAACACGCGATAGACGCTCAGAAGTAAAAAAATGACGGATATCTCGAGAATTATATAACTATCTAGGGATTAGTGTGCACGGATACGGTATATTGTGATCGTGGGTGTTTAAGGCCGCAGCGTAACAGTTACTAATACTAATCATATATTATAATCTCTGCGAATTGAAAGTCTTCTGCTCTCCTGTGCGTGATCCTTGACTCAAAAATTGCGAGCGTTATAAGGCCAATGAATTAAGTTTATTAGAATCAGCTGAGTTTCCCGAATTAGCTGAACAAATAATTAATGTAAAAGAAGTCAAAGTGTAGGGAAGCTGCGTAAAGTAGTCGAATAAGATGTATGTGTAGGAGTGCAATGTCATGATGGATATCGTCGTAGAAAATGTCTAAGAATAACGTTAGCTGTCTAAATTATGGAAGAGTTTATACTATTATTTTACAAAGGTTGGCTGTAAATGCGGTTCATGATAACATACAGTGGGTGACCAAAAGTCTCCGACCACTCCTTAAAATTTTCGTTAATTATGCATAATTCCGTAACGAAACATCAGATTTCTATAAAACTTTAGCCGTAGTTTGCGCTTGTATTGAGCTACATTTCTAAAAAATTTTAACTTAGATTAATATGTAAACGGTTAGGTTTACTTATACCTGACGTTACTCAACTGAAAATGAATAAATTAGGCGTTACGAAGAAAATGTTCAAAAATTAATACCTCCACAACCATTTACATTATTAACAAACTTTAAACGAGGGTTTGTAGCGACTGTCATGTACTTTGAAAAAATGTAAATAATATGACATTATAATATAAATAAATTTTGTTATGGCATTCAAGTAACGGCATATTAATTTCACAGATAATTATCTGAAAAATAATTACATGCGTGCGCATTCACAGTGTAAATGTGCGCATTTACAATGCAGGATATTGCATTAGGCTTTCTACTTCCACTTTCCACACATTTTTGCAAAAAAAATTCAAGCATTCCAACTTATTC